GCATACATTAATCGAACAGCACCGTACTGCTCTGCGCAGGAGTAAGCAGACATCATGCAAATATCACACCCCCGTTGCTGCTATTACTGTCGTCCTGTTTATTTTAGCCTAGCAGTTCATAACATGGCATAGCATTGCATTGCATTGCATAGCACGGTATGCCGTGTCTGTGCATACCATGTCACGCGGTAGCATCGCTCTTCATTGGAAACACAGCATGATATCGCTCAAGGAATCATCAAATTTATTACCATAGCAGTTCACAGCACAGCATGGCATGGCATGCAATGCGCACTGTACGGTATATCATGTTATTGCATTGCGTACTGCATAGTGGCATTGCGTTTTGTAGCATAGTGCAACATGGCGCTGTAGCGCTGCATTTCTCCTGGCCCATAGCTTGGCGACAGATCACCGGTCGACCGGTCGATGAGAGCGGAGGAGGAGGAGGAATGAGGAAGGGGCAGGAGGAAACAGAGAATGCTGACCTGCATCTGCATCTAAGGGGTACATCGACCCGCAGGGCCCAGGCCACGCCAGTGGGGACAGGGATCGGTCAAACGATGCTCAGTTTGCCTCATGCTGCTCCTCGAGCCGACGGTCGGGGAGCGCGTTGTCGGCGCGCGCCCCGCTGGCTCGGAGGAGCAATGCTTTGTGTTGGCGGCAGATCACCGGTCGATCGTTTCAGCACGCGCGAAGCGCATGCGTGGTTCTATAGGGTCCCGGGCCCCCCAAATTGCACTCATGTGCCTTCCAGCCGTTTCGGGCCCGGCGAGGGGCGCAACAAAAACGTCAAAGGGGGCCGAGAGACGTCCAAGAGGGCGCCAAGATGGCCCAAGAGCGCTCCAAGAGAGCCCAAGACCGCAGAAAAGCGTTTCAACATTTGTCCAAGAGGCCTCCAAGAGGGCCCAAGAGAGCTCCGAGAGACGTCCCGAGAGAGCCCAAAGAGGCCCAAATCATTGATTTGCATTGGTTTGTTGGATGTTTTTCGCTTTCTCGCGTTCTCGAGCTTCCAATGTTCGAAGACGGCCGAAGACGCCCCCAAGACCGCCCCAAAACCGCCGATGACGCCCCAAAAGAGCCCCAAGACGGCTCCAGAGAGCCTGCAAATTGCCCACGAGGAGCCCCAGACGGCCCAAGAGGCCCCAGGACAGGCCCAAGATGGGCCACAGAGCGGGGGCGGGAGGCCCCAGGGCGCTCGAAGACGGCCCAGATGGCCCGGGTTTCCCCCTTCCGTCCCTCCTTCCCTTCCGCCCCCTTCCCCTTGCCTCCATTACCTCCTCTTTCCTCTTCTTCCCCTCGCGCCTCAGCTTTCGTGCTTCTCCCTCCTCTCTTGGGACGGCCCCGCCAGAGCGCTAGACAGGCCTCGCCAGAGCGAGCGGGGCATCATCGCTATACCCTATCCTTTCACAAGTTGGTTTGCCCCTCCCACCCCTCAAGGGCGGCCCCTGCAAAACGAGATGGGTGTTGCTATATCATATGCAGTCCCTGTTGTGTCTTGCCCGTTCCACCGCACCCGAGGTAGCCCCGTCAGAGCGCACGGGGTGTGGCTATACCATAGTTTTCCTCCGGTTTCGTGCTCCTCCTTCCCCTCTTGGGCAAGCCCCGCCAGAGCGGCAGGGACCCCCCTGCCAGGGAGAGCAGGGCACCCCGACACCATACTCTTTCACGCGATTCTTGCTCCTCCCACCCTTGCAGGGCGGATCCGCCCGAGCGAGCGGGGTGTGGCTATATTATACAATAGTTTATGTTTCGTGACCGTCCCCCACCTCCTAAAATACCTCGCTAGAGCGCCAAGAAGGTGCAGGCGCTGGCGCAAGAGCGCGCTAGGGGCCCACGTCCTAGGATCCAGCGCGGGACGGCATTAGGCTTGCAATATAGATGGTGGGGCTTGTTAGGGGTCGCCCTGCAACGGTGCATTTGCACCATGCTGTCAACGAATGGGCAGCCACGCAAAGTTCTTGAGCTAATCCTGCCAATCGCTGAGCGCCAAGAAGGTACCGCCAGAGACCCCGTCAGAGCTCCAGGCAACCCCATACACGGGACTTGCCAGGCATATCGTTGAGCACCCCCCGTGAGCCCGAGTCTGCTGCTCCCACGGGTGCGATTATCGCCGGCATGAGGTTTGGCGTCCAGCACGAAGAAGCTCCCCCACTCCCGTGGACGGACACGACAACAAGTTGAATGCAGAGAACGGCATTGATGACCGGGGCATCTGCGCGCGCCCTCTGCAGATACCCGACAGCTGAACGACTCCTGCGAACGAGAAGCCTGGGGCACAAGGAAGGGGAACAGAAACAACGCGCGCGCGCGCAACGAGGCCCCGAACCCACCCCAACATGAGGAGCCTGCGGATGTCTGCGTGGTCGGGCATGGGGAGACCGAGCAGACGCGCAAAAACATTGAGTGTCGCGACGGGGCAAAGCGAAGTGACAGTGCAGAAACAAACGCAGATCGATAATCCAAACAAAGGTGGCAGTGATATTGTGAAGTGCGCGGAACATGGCGCCCCATGTTCAGACTACGCGTTTCTTTGCGTCTCTGACATGGGCCCGAGAACGCTGGAAATCGTCGTTGTGGCCACAGCGGGGCTTACGACGGCACCCGTGGCTCATCTGCGAATAGAACCTACTGGCGCGTAGCGCGCGTGGTTCTAGCATATATATATATATATATATATATATATGAATATATATATATAAAAATATATACATATCTGTATATGTGTGTATGTACACATATACATACACATGCATATGCATATATATATATATATGTATGTATGCATGTATGTATGTATGTATGTATGTATGTATGTATGTATGTATGTATGTATGTGTGTGCGTCTGTATGATGATATGCGTGTGAACTTATACACATAAATAATAATACTAATACTAATACGTATGTGTGTATGTATGATTGCATGTGTGTATGTATTTCTGTATATATATATATATGTACACATATATATATATATAGAGAGAGAGAGAGAGAGATGTACCCCGCGCACGAGGCCCAGGGGCCCGGGACCGCGACCTCGACGGGTCATGGGGGTTCCGGGCGTCGTTTTCTTTGTGTGTGTGTGTGTGTGTGTTTGTTTTTAACGGGGTTTCGACGGCCTGGGGCCAACAGGGCCCCAAAAGGCTGCAGGGAGGCCCCAGGAGGCCACAGCAATGGCTCCAGACGCCTTTCAAGACGACTCCCATGACGCCAAGAAGGCCCCCGAAGGCCCCGAAGACGCCCCAAGGGGCACCCCGAAAGAGGCTCAATAAACAAACATCGTTGGTTTCTTATGGGTAAACTGATATTTGTGGCGTGTTTGCCTTTTGGGCGTCCACTGCGTCCAAGACGGCCAGGAGGCACCCAAGCCGGTCGAGGATGCCCCCAAAAGGGCTCCAAGACGGCCCACAAGGGGCCAAGGCGGCCCATGAGACGCCTAAACCGCCCAAGAACGCCCCCCAGGAGCCCAATAGGCCTTTCCGGGGAGCCTCCACAGCGCCCCAGGAGGGCCCAAGACTCTTCCCAGGAGCACCCAGAATGCGAAAGGATGGTCCAAGACGTTCCCAAGCAACCCAAGTCAGCCTTCGGACGGCTCTCGAGGCTCCCAGGTAGCCTCCAGGAGACCCCAAAAGAGGTCCGAGAGGCGTCCCAGGACGGCCCGAAGAGGCCCAAATCGTCGATTCCCACTTGTTTTTTGAATGTGTTTGGCGTCTCGCATTTTCGAGCTTCCAATGGTCCGAGAGCGCCGAAGAGGCTCCCATTACCGCCCCAAGACCACCCAAGAGACCTACAGGACGGCCCCAAGACGAGCCAAGAAGGCTCCAAGACTGCCGAAGAGGCGCGCAGGACAGCCCCAGACTACCCTAGAACAGGCCCAAAATGAGCCCAAGAGCGGGAGCAGGAGGCTTCCAGCGACCTCCGAGAGGCCTCCGGGACCCCCCAGAGGCCCCCAACACCCCCCCGATGTTTGAGAGGCCCCACCCCAAAAAGACCCGGACGAGGCTCCAAGAACAGCCCAAGAGAGCTGCGAGAGCCGTCCCGAGAGAGCCCAAAGACGGTAAAATCGTTGATTGTCCATTTTGTTTTTCTAATGTTTTTCGTCTTCTGACGCTTTCCCGCTTCCAACCCTTGAAGATCGATGATATTTTTTTAGAAAAAAGGGACTTCCCAGAATTCCGATGTTTTTCAAAGTGGGACTCCGCCTCGGAGATCCCGCACATCCCCTGACATCTGGCCGGTACCGCGCCTCCCGGCTTCCCGGGGGGCCCCCAATACGCCCAAGGACAGCCCAAGACGACCCCAAGGAACCCCTAGAACGTAAAGAGCGGCCCAACACGCTTCCGCGCAGCCCGAGACACCCTTTCGACGGCTCTCCAAGCCTCCAGGAGGCCTCCAGAACCCACAGGGGGTCCGGAAGATCCCACACCCCTGAGGGGCCCGGCTAACAAAACCCGCGAGGCACAAACAAAAAGCAGCGCCGAAAAGCGCCGAGGAACTGGAAAACATTGAAATCCTACAATTCCTTTACTTTTTTTTTGTTTTTCAAGTTTGGCCCCTGGTCTACTCTTGCACAGACCACAATTCAGACCCCCTCAACTCCCCACAAAAAAAACAGTAATCCTTTGAGGGTCCCAAATCGTTGAATACCTAAAGGGAATGAATAAATGATTTCTGCGTTTCCGCATTTCCCCTTCTATACGATTCCGAGGTTTGTTTGCGCAGGGCCTCCAAAGGAGTCCCTGGACGCAGGAAGCGACCAACATGAGATTACATGAGTTGGCCGATCAAGCCTAATTAACTATAATTTGAGCGCGCGCGAAGCGCGCGCGATGGTTCTAGTGTATATATAAGGATGTATGTATAGATGTGTGTCTATAGGTACGTGTGTATAGATGCTTGTCTGCTTGTATGCTTATATGTTTATAGGTATATGTATTTATATATGTATATATATATGGCAATGCGTGCATGTGAATCTTTTCTGAGAGTGCCTTGAGGACAGGGGGCCGCGCGTCACAGCACGCCCGCTACCGATTGTGCTCAAGCTGACACCGGCGCGGCCGCGCCGGGAGACGCATCCCCCGCTTCCCATGGCCTGGCTGTTTGGCCAGCGGTACCTGGACTGGCTCGTCGGCACCGTCTCGCAGACGGTCGTGAGCTGGTCGGCCCGCTGCCCGGCGTGCCCCGCCTGCCCGCAGCCGCCGGCGTGCCCAGCCTGCCCAGCGGCGGCGCCGATCCACTTCCACCCGCCGGCCGCCTGTCCGGCGGCTCCAAAGGCGCCGGCACCCGCGCCCGCGCCCCAGCCGGTCGCCCAGGAGCCTGAGGGCCTCTCCTGGACGGGCGGGTGGCTGACCTGCTTCCTGGTCGCCGTCAACCTGTTGGTCTTCAGCTTCCACGTGGTGAGGCAGGTCGGCTCGGCCGTGGTGAGGCTGCGGCCGGCTCCGACGCCCGCCGCCCTGAAGGATGGCACAGGAGCAGGCGCCGCCGGGGGTGCGCCGGTGGGCGTGGGCACAGTACGCCGGCGCGCCGCTGTGGCATCAGCGGCGCGTGTGGGGCCGGGTGATTCAGGATCCGACTGATGCCCGCTGGTCCCCCCTGCGGGTGCTGATCTCGACGCCGGATGGCGACGTATACGAAGAGCTGTACGACATGTCTGATGGGACCTTGGCTGCGGTTCGCTTCGAGGACGACCGGCGCACCCGCCCAGCTGGCCTGGAGGTTGGGAACCTCTACCGCTTCCGGCGCGCGCTGACGGCGGCCGAGGAGGTGGCCATCAGGAACGAGGTGGACGCCTACGCCCGCGACGTGTTCCTCGACGCGGAGCGAGCGGCCGGGCGGCCTGGGGTGGTGCCTCCGGCGGGCGCTGCCGTCTACTTCACGTTCGCGGCCGCTGCTGGTGGCGCGGTCGCGCCTGGGCCCGCTCCCGCCGCCCCTGCCGCCGGGGGAGGGGCGGCAGTGGCCGCCGCGCTGGCTGTGGTGCCGGCTGGCCCCGCCGCGCCCGCGGCTGGACCGCCTGCTGGTGCCGCCCCAGTTGCGGCAGCCGCCGCACCGCTCGCCGCTGCTGGAGCTCCCGCAGGCCCCTTGGGGCCGAATGCCGTGCCTGGGGCTGACGGACAGTGGGTCTACGTCGAGACCACGACGACGGCCCGGCGCGGGGACCCTGTCACGATGGACGGGACGGAGCTCGTCCGGGGGGCTATCGGCCTGAAGCAGGACGCTGGCGGGAGCTGGTCGGCCATCCGGCTGATCACGACCTCGCAGGCCTCCTACCGAGGCGCCGAGGCCCTCGCTGATGCCCGCCTCCAGCCTGTGGCCCTGCTTAGTGACGGCTCGCGGCAGCGCGTGCAGTTCCACGAGAGTGTCGACAGGCTCCGCGAGGAGCCCTTCCCCGACTGGCCGCTGGACGGCCCAAGGACCACACTATGGTGCCTCCGCTTCTTGGACAGGAAGCGCGGAGGGGCCATCGAGCACTTCCACCAGTTCGCGTCCTACTACCGGCTGTCCCGCGATGACTTCGGGGTGACGCACTACGAGTCCATCATGAGGATGGTCGACTACCTGATGACGTGGGACCTCCTCGACTTGCCCAATGTGGTGGGCGTCGAGGTCATGCTGCGGCAGGCGCAGCTGTACGAGTACATGTACGCCATGGAGTACGAGGCGCGCGACTCGGGCGTCTCAGCTGCTGTCTCGGCCGAGGGCGAGCCCAAGGCGAAGGCGAAGGGCAAGCCCAAGAGCCGGGGCGGCGGTGGCTTCTTGAAGTTCGGTTTCGTGGATGAGGTGGGGGTCTTCACGGGCACGGCCCGCGAGGACGGCCGCATGATGGTGGCTCCGGCACTCTTGGAGCACGTGGCCAAACAAGTGGAGCGCGACGCTGGAATCCTTAAGCAGATCAGGAAGGCTAAGGAAGAGCGCCGCGCTCTGGCTCCATGATGGAGCGGGGCCTGGAGGCGGACTCCCCGACCGCCTTCAGCTACTCTCGAGGGGGCTTCGCGGATATGGCCTCCCGCGCTGCAGATGTACATGAGGCCCAGCCAGCTCGTCAGCGACGGCATCGGGATCTCTTTCCGCTCCCTGTGCCCGCCGGTGGTGAGCGCAGTTTTGTGGCTACTGACCTTTCTCGCACAACTAAGAGGCGACTCCACAGGACCAGTCACCGCCGCGAGATGGTCGTCGACGCCATCCGCGCCATGAATGAGATGTACACTGGTTCGAGCTGTCCGCGGCCTACCGGCCTCACTGGCCCTACGACCGCCCAGCAGGAGGCTCTGGCGGTGATCCAGGAGGCCGTCGACGCCTTCGGAGTGCCCCCGCCCGACCTCACTCCCGCAGGAGCCCTCGAGGAGCTCCGCGTCGCGCAGTCATACGACCAGGAGTCTGCCGTGATTGCGCCGGTGACCTTCGACCGCGTCGATCTGATCTCCCTGCCGAGCGTGGGCTCCGAACCGAAGTCCTTGTCTGCACTCATCGGGGATGACAGCATGAGTATTGGTCACCGCCTTCAAGAACTACTTTTGCCCCGTGAGCGGGGGCTTGCCCGGGTCGCGGAGCACGCTCCGAAGAGGGCGTATTCGGATCCCAACTTGAGGAACCCTCGCCTATATAAGAAAGTATTGCACCGTCTTGTGTCATCGCACCTCGTTGAGTTTCATACCGATGCGTTGAGCTCAGTGGGAATGTTCTTCGTCTATAAGAAGTCAGGGGCCCTGAGGCTCATACTGGATGGCCGGATCCCGTCCCAGTTGTTCGACGAGCCCCCCAAGGTGAAGCTGGCAACTGGGGCCGCGTTCTCTCAGCTCCGGGTTGACAGTCGGGAGCCTGTGTGTGTCGCTGGTGTGGACATCGCGGATGCCTTCTATACCATGTTGCTCCCACCTTGGCTTCGTCGGTACTTCGGACTCCCTAAGATCAGGGCTGGTGAATTGGGGATCTCGGTCGATGCGAATGGAAGGCCCGTGGCGCCTACGCAGTGGGTCCATCCGTGCTTCAGGTGTCCTCCGATGGGATTCAGTCTCAGTCTTTGGTTGTGCCAGTCAGTGAATGAGATTGTCTCGCGGCGTGCTGGCCTCGTCAGGCCGGAGCGTGTCCTGGTGGATCGCCTGCCTGCCCCTGTCGTCGACTCGGGCGTTGTTCATACCGAATACGTCGACAACTTCGTCGCGCTGTCGCTATCGGAGGCCTCTGCTATTGCTGCTGCCCGTCAGGTCGATCATCATATGCGTGCTGTGGGACTGCCTACTCACGGGGTGGAGAGCGGAGTGGGCGGGGAGACTCTTGGTTGGTCCTTCGACTCGAACTCGCCCGTGATCTCGCTCAACCCCAGGCTTAGGTGGAAGCTGTACCTTGGGATTCAGGAGGTCCTCCGACGTGGGTTCTGTTCTGGAAAGGAGATGGTGAGGATCGTCTCGCACATCACGTCCAGGGTGCTCATTAGGAGGGAGCTCCTCTCGTGCCTGGGGGCCGTCTACAAGTTTGGGGAGGTATACCACAATCGTGCCGCTAAGCTCTGGCCCGTCGTCCGTCGTGAACTACGCTGGGCTCGGGCTCTCCTCATCTTCTGCAGCAGGGACCTCGGGTTGCCCTTCGACACCACCCTCACGTGCCTGGATGCGTCGTCTTGGGGTTTTGGAGTTACCCAGCGGGAGGTCTCTGAGGACTCGGTCAAGCGTCTGGCCCGGTACAACGAGCGTTGGAGGTTCTCTCGGGAAGCTGAGCGCCAACGCCTTGGACCCCGAGCCGCTGCTGTCCCTGGTCAAGGCTCCTCAGGAACCGTCCCGGACGGGCCCGAAGTCTCCGACGTGGACCCTAGCTTCGAGGAGGTCCCGCCCGACATCTGGAGGGACCACTGGCACCCGGTCCTCTCGGTGCCCTGGCGGCGCCCAGCCCCTCAGGTCATCCTGGAGGCCAGGTCCGGCGTGATGGCGCTTAAGCACAAGCTTCGCTCCAAGAGGTCCTTTCGGAAGGCCCACGTAATGCTGAATGACGCCATGGCTCCCATCTTGGCTCTGGCAAAGGGGCGGTCTTCGGCGCCCGCCCTCCTCGCCGTCTGCCGGCAGGTGGCATGTCTGCTGCTGGCCTCAGGCTCGGCGGCGTACTGGAGGTGGCTGCCGTCCGAGTTCAACTCTGCCGACCCAGCATCACGGAACCGGCCTGGTGCTAGGCCCGAGGCGTGGTATGCTCCAGCGGTCGTCGCCCCAGGGAGCGTCTGCTGCCAGCCCGTCGGGCGTCCATCGCAGGCGGCCCGCGGCGGCTCCAGCAGCCCCAGCGCCCACCCACCTTGGGCGCCGGAGCCGCTCCCAGAGCGCAGCTGCGCTGTCCTGGGGGGACCAGGCGGACCGCCGAGTTGCCAGGAGGCGCGCCTTCCCCGCCGCCAACACGGCGGCGACCTCGGGCTCGCTGACCTTCCTGGAGACGCAGGCCGTGGGGGAGGCGACCCGCCGGGACTATGCCGACAGGGTCTCGAAGTTCACGGCGCGGGCGACCTCGGTCCGGCTGCCGATCGTGGAGGTGCCCGAGCTGGACGTCGCACTGGTGACCTTCTTCAACCAGCTGTTCTTCGACGGCTACCCGAGCGAGGAGGCGACGAAGTACATGGCGGCACTGGCTCATTGCCGCGCGGCGCCCGGCCGACTGCAGGTGGCCTTCCCGAGGGCCGCTCGTGCTGCGAAGGGCTGGGCCCGGCTGGTACCGCCACGATCCCGGCTGCCGCTGCCCTGGCCGATTGCCTGCCTGATGATCGACTGGATGCTGGATGCAGGCGAGACGACAGCGGCGGCGGCGACGGCGGTCTGCTTCGCGCTGTACCTTCGGCCGGCAGAGCTGCTCAGCCTGACGCGCGAGCAGGTGATCCCGCCTGCCGAGGGCGCCCCGCCGGGGCGAACCTTCCTGAACTTCTGGTCGGTGGTCCTGCATCCGATGGAGTGCGCTCAGCCTTCGAAGACGGGAGTCTACGACGAGGGCCTCCTTCTGGACAGCCCGGAGTTCACCTGGCTGCCACCGCTGCTGCAGGCGCTGCGGGCCCGAGCCGCGCCAGGCGGCCGCGTCTTCGACATGAGCTACAACCAGTGGGCCCTGGTCTTCAGGCGTGCTGCGACAGCGCTGCACCTCGGCGTCCTGGGGCCGCCGACGCTCTACACCCTCCGACACGGGGGGGCCTCCCACGAATACCTCGCAAAGTTCAGAAGCCTCGACGAGATCAAGAAGAGGGGGAGGTGGGTGTCGGACTCGTCCCTACGGCGCTACACCAAAGGGGGCCGCGTGGCAGAGCAGATGCGACGGCTTCCGATCTCCGAGCAGCGCCACGCCACGCGCCTGGTCGACACCATTGGCGGGCGCCTCTCCAGAATTTGGCTCGGTCTGTAGAGGACGCCGGTCAACCCGTGTTCCTGGAAGTGTTCAGCGGGTCAGGGCGCCTCTCTCTGGCGTGGCGGCGAGTCTCCCGCGGCCGCCTGGCCGCCTTTGAGCTGGACCTCAAGCATGACCCGGCTTCAGACCTTCTGCAACGCCGAGTTCAGCAGCTCGTTCGCGGATGGCTTCGGTCAGGCCTCGTGGCAGCTGTGTGGTTGGGCACGCCTTGTCAGTCGATGTCGCTCGCGCGCAACCGACCAAATGGCCCCCCTCCGCTCAGAAGCAGCTCGCACCCTCAGGGCCTCCCTGGATTGTCGCCTGGTGATGCTCTGAAAGTTTTGCAAGGCAATAGGCTCTGTGCGTTCAGTTTTAGTCTTTTTGAGTTAGCGCTGTCCCTTGGGATCCCTGTTGGCCTGGAAAACCCGGGGTCCTCCTGGCTCTGGAAACAACCTGTGGCTGAAAGAGTCTCGAAGCGGTCCGGGGTCCAGCGCTTAACCGTGGACTTCTGCGCTTTCGGCACTCCGTGGCGAAAACGCACTGCAATCCTTTATGCTAATGCTGACCTGTCAAGTCTGCGTCCATTCAAGTGCTGTGGTAGAGGTATTTGCTCGTTCTCAGGTAAGCCCCACATCGAACTCGCCGGTAAAGATAATGCCGGCCGTTTTCTCACGGCTATCGCCGAACCGTACCCAAGTGACCTGTGTGTACATATTGCTCGTGCGTTTCTCAATGCACATCGGAACCATGTGTTTCGGGGGATGTTTTCTAAAGTGGCCCCTCGCCCTTAAGTCGAGTCTCCAGACATATGGTTTCGGAGTTCTCCGATTTTGTGGTGTTGTGCGGACTGCCGTCGGTCTCGAGGACTGGCGCCTGATTGCATCCTCTCGTCTAGAGCTCTGGGCACCAGTAAGCACACAGATCAAACCTTCGGTCTGGCCACTGAGGAAAAAGGGCTCCTCGGAGGAACAGATGGCAATGCGTGCATGTGAATCTTTTCTGAGAGTGCCTTGAGGACAGGGGGCCGCGCGTCACAGCACGCCCGCTACCGATTGTGCTCAAGCTCCCCCCCGAGCCCACCCGCGGAGCAAAATCTACGCGAGGCGTTGTGCTGACTGCCGTCGGTCTCGAGGACTGGCGCCTGATTGCATCCTCTCGTCTAGAGCTCTGGGCACCAGTAAGCACACAGATCAAACCTTCGGTCTGGCCACTGAGGAAAAAGAGCTCCTCGGAGGAACAGATATACATATGTATTTTCACATGTATACTCACGATGTGCAACATATATATATATATATATACATATATGCATATGCGTGCGACTGGTGCGACCTACGCCGTTACGTTGTGCAATATTGCATGGTGCAGACTATGTGGTGCAATCTATGTGGTGCAGCTGGTTTTTATACATGAGTTGACACTCTCCATGCTCTTGCAAGCATCCCACCACCCAACGGCAAATTGGTTTTCAAAACCCATGCGGCGGCGATTGCGATGAGTGCATGGCGCTGGCTGGTGCATCTCTGCGGCCGCGCCTGCTCGCGCGCGCAGCGACCAGCTAGTTTGGCGCGACCGACGCGGCCGCGGTAGCGCTGACCGCTGGGCATTTCCCAGTGCGCACTTCGGTGCGAGTCTGTGATTCGGGCGGGCGCAGTATCATGGCGATGCCGACAGTGGTAGACACGATGATGAGAATAGCGATGATGGTGACCAGGGTGGCCATGACGATGGCAAGGCCCATGACGGCGCCAGCGTTGGTCACACCCGCCGATCACGATGACGATGTCTTCGCGTCGGCGGTGAAGGTTTTAGGAGGAGTTCGACATGCGCGTGCGGCCGACGCGCGCGAGTGGCCCGCGTGGCATTACATGACGCGGATCGCGCTCCCCCGCGTAAGGGCAGTCGGATCAGTTCCACAGGCGGCGCGAGAGGCCCCCTGTCTGGCAGAATTCGATGGCAACGTTGAAAACTCATGGATTTCCGAAAAATCGGCAAGACCGCGAGCGCAGGCTTTCTTGACAGCCGATATGTTCGGGGCGCTCGTTTTTGAAATCCTGGCGAAACCTCAGGTTGAGGGAAGATTCCGGCATGTGCGCGCGACGACGCGCGCGTGTTTTGCGTCCCGTTTTTTGTGTGTATGTGTGTGTTTATAATTCTATGTGTGTTTCCGATGGCTTATTGCGACGCAGCGCGCGCAAGAACGTTCAAGCGATATCGACATGCACGCGCGAGAGATCCGTTTGGTAACAGTTTATGAAAATATTGTAAAACCGATGGTTTCAGCAGGACTCGCAAGAGCGCGGGCGCAGTTTTTTCCCCAATCAACGCTTGCTCTGAAGCGGACCTAGCAGATATTGAACGATTTGAAGAAAGTTCCCGCCGATTTTGGTAGCCGGTTGGGTTCCCGGGTTCCCAGTTCCGGATTCCCGGGTTCCTGGTTATTGGTTCCGGGCCGATTTCGGCGGGCTCCAGGCTCCCAGGTTCCTGGTCGATCTCATTTGCGAAAACCATCCGTTGATTGGGCTTTTCTTTGGTGTACTTGAAAACTTTTGTTGCGAAGCCATGTGTGTTTTATTGTAGTGGCTTTCTGCCATTGCCGCCGATAGGGGTCGCTTGAGGTGCCTCCCAGACTGGGCGGCGACACTTCGCTGACAGACGCGCGCGCACACGCTTGCAGACATTGCGCGCACACGCGCACACGCACACACACTCGCACGCCTGCACATACACACACAAAGCACACAGCACACACAGCACACACAGCACACACAGCACACACACAGCACACACAGCACACACACAGACACACGCACACACACACGCACCACATTCGCACGCGCGCGCCACCTTCGCAGGCACATACACACGCACGCGCCGGGCAATACACACAAATACACGCCACGCACGCCGCACACACACACACACACCACACAACAGACACGCATTTCACTGCCACTTTCGTCTTCCCCCTCGTTTGTTTTCCGTTTTCCGTTCTTGTCCCGTTCCTTTTCTCTTTCCCTTTTTCCCCATTTCCCATATCGCGAGCGCGGACAAACATTGCCCCGCGCACGCGCGCACACCCCCCTACCCCTCCCTCCTCGGCAAAGCCGCCCCGGCACCCCCCCCCACAGGCTGAAGCTCAGCCTCGAGGCTGTAGGTGAAGCTCCTTCAAACTCACACGCCACGGACCCCCCCCCCCCCCCGCGCCATCGGAACCCACGCCACCGGACCCCCCTTCCTCTCTTCCCCCAGTTCCTCCTGTCCACAAGCGGGACGGGGGATCACGTTCCCCTCCCCAACGCCACCGGACCCCCCCCCCATACCCCTACCCCAACAGAGCCACCCCGGCCACCGGACACCCTCTTCCCTCTCTACTCCCAATTCCCCCCTGTCCACAGGCGGGACGGGGGACCGGACCCCATCCCTCCCCACGCCATCGGAACCCACGCCCCCGCCACCCACCCCCCCTTCCCCCTACCCCGGCAGAGCCACCCTCGTCACCCCCTCCCCCGTAAACTCACACGCCGGATCGGCGGATTTGTGTCCGTGGCTCTCGATTTTGGATATATATATATATATATATATATATATATATATATATATATATATATGTATATTCGGCACGCGCGCGCGACGACCCGCGCGCGGGCATGTGTTTCGTTTTTTTGTTAGTTGGTTTGTGTTTTGCAAAGGATTTCTGACAACTGATGGTTTGTGAAAAACGAGTGCGCGCGCACATCTTCACATAGTTTAAGATCGGAGGATCGACGTGGTGCATTTCACCATGCCGAACTTGAAGGTGTCAGCTCCGCAATCCTTGCACCCCCCCCCCCCGCCAACCCGCAACTTGATTTGCAAAACCCATGCGGCGGCGATTGCGATGGTGCGCGGTGTTGGCTGGTGAATTTCTGTGGCCGCGCTAGCCTGCGCATGCTCGCGCGCGCAGCGACCGCGGTGGCGCTGACCGCTGGGTATTTCCCAGCGGGCATGTCAGTCCGAATCGGCGACGTGGGCGGGCGCGTGCGGCGGTGAAGGTTTTAGGAGGAGTTCGACATGCGCGTGCGGCCGACGCGCGCGAGTGGCCCGCGTGGCATTACATGACGCGGATCGCGCTCCCCCGCGTAAGGGCAGTCGGATCAGTTCCACAGGCGGCGCGAGAGGCCCCTTGTCTGGCAGAATTCGATGGCAACGTTGAAAACTCATGGATTTCCGAAAAATCGGCAAGACCGCGAGCGCAGGCTTTCTTGACAGCTGATATGTTCGGGGCGCTCGTTTTTGAAATCCTGGCGAAACCTCAGGTTGAGGGAAGATTCCGGCATGTGCGCGCGACGACGCGCGCGTGTTTTGCGTCCCGTTTTTTGTGTGTATGTGTGTGTTTATAATTCTATGTGTGTTTCCGATGGCTTATTGCGACGCAGCGCGCGCAAGAACGTTCAAGCGATATCGACATGCACGCGCGAGAGATCCGTTTGGTAACAGTTTATGAAAATATTGTAAAACCGATGGTTTCAGCAGGACTCGCAAGAGCGCGGGCACAGTTTTTTCCCCAATCAATGCTTGCTCTGAAGCGGACCTAGCAGATATTGAACGATTTGAAGAAAGTTCCCGCCGATTTTGGTAGCCGGTTGGGTTCCCGGGTTCCCAGTTCCGGATTCCCGGGTTCCTGGTTATTGGTTCCGGGCCGATTTCGGCGGGCTCCAGGCTCCCAGGTTCCTGGTCGATCTCATTTGCGAAAACCATCCGTTGATTGGGCTTTTCTTTGGTGTACTTGAAAACTTTTGTTGCGAAGCCATGTGTGTTTTATTGTAGTGGCTTTTTGCCATTGCCGCCGATAGGGGTCGCTTGAGGTGCCTCCCAGACTGGGCGGCGACACTTCGCTGACAGACGCGCGCGTACACGCTTGCAGACATTGCGCGCACACGCGCACACACACACACACACGCGCACGCCTGCACATACACGCACAAAGCACACAGCACACACAGCACACACAGCACACACAGCACACACACAGCACACACAGCACACACAGCACACACACAGACACACGCACACACACACGCACCACATTCGCACGCGCGCGCCACTTTCGCAGGCACATACACACGCACGCGCCGGGCAATACACACAAATACACGCCACGCACGCCGCACACACACACACCACACAACAGACACGCATTTCACTGCCACTTTCGTCTTCCCCCTCGTTTGTTTTCCGTTTTCCGTTTTTGTCCCGTTCCTTTTCTCTCTCCCTTTTTCCCCATTTCCCATCTCGCGAGCGCGGACAAACATTGCCCCGCGCACGCGCGCACACCCCCCTACCCCTCCCTCCTCGGCAAAGCCGCCCCGGCACCCCCCCCCACAGGCTGAAGCTCAGCCTCGAGGCTGTAGGTGAAGCTCCTTCAAACTCACACGCCACGGACCCCCCCCCCCCACCACGCCATCGGAACCCACGCCACCGGACCCCCCTTCCTCTCTTCCCCCAGTTCCTCCTGTCCACAAGCGGGACGGGGGATCACGTTCCCCTCCCCAACGCCACCGGACCCCCCCCCCATACCCCTACCCCAACAGAGCCACCCCGGCCACCGGACACCCTCTTCCCTCTCTACTCCCAATTCCCCCCTGTCCACAGGCGGGACGGGGGACCGGACCCCATCCCTCCCCACGCCATCGGAACCCACGCCCCCGCCACCCACCCCCCCTTCCCCCTACCCCGGCAGAGCCACCCTCGTCACCCCCTCTCCCGTAAACTCACACGCCGGATCGGCGGATTTGTGTCCGTGGCTCTCGATTTTGGATATATATATATATATATATATATATATATATATAATATATATATATATATCGGCACGCGCGCGCGCGACGACCCGCGCGCGGGCATGTGTTTCGTTTTTTTGTTAGTTGGTTTGTGTTTTGCAAAGGATTTCTGACAACTGATGGTTTGTGAAAAACGAGTGCGCGCGCACATCTTCACATAGTTTAAGATCGGAGGATCGACGTGGTGCATTTCACCATGCCGAACTTGAAGGTGTCAGCTCCGCAATCCTTGCACCCCCCCCCCCCGCCAACCCGCAACTTGATTTGCAAAACCCATGCGGCGGCGATTGCGATGGTGCGCGGTGTTGGCTGGTGAATTTCTGTGGCCGCGCTAGCCTGCGCATGCTCGCGCGCGCAGCGACCGCGGTGGCGCTGACCGCTGGGTATTTCCCAGCGGGCATGTCAGTCCGAATCGGCGACGTGGGCGGGCGCAGTGTCATGGCAACGCCGACAAAGGTAGACATGACCATTCGAGTAGCGATGATGGTGACGAGGGCGGCGATGACGACAATAAGACCAGTGACCGCGCCGATGTTGATCTCACCCGACGATGACGATGACGATGTCCTCGCGGCGGTGATGACGATTCTAGAAGGAGTTCGACATGCGCGCGCGGCCCAAGCGCGCGAGTGCCCCGCGTGTTATGGTTTGACACGGATCGTGCCCCCCCCGCGCGCGAAAGGGCATCCGGATGAGTTTGGCATGCGGCGCGAGAGGCCCGCTGGGCAGAATGTGGTGACAAGGTTGGAAACCCGATGGTTTTCGAAGGAATTCGTAAGAAGGCGCGCGAAATTGATGTTACGAAACCTTGTGTGTTGATACGTTTTCGGAACACTTGGTTTTGAAATCTTTGCGACACGTGTGGTTTATGAGTGATGTTGGCATGCGCGCGTGACGACGCGCGCGCACACATTTCGTCTCATGCTCTCGCAAACGGATTCTTGCGACAGCACGCGCGCAAGGGCGTTCGAGTGATTTCGACGCGCGCGTGAGAGGCCCGCTTGATATAACAGCGCGTTCGACGTAACGTGCTGATTTCTTTAAAATGAAATCGTAAGAGCGCGGGTGTTTTTTTTGTTTGCAAGCCTTCGTTGCCAAACCATGCGTTATTTACATACGTTTTCGGGGCATTCGATTTTGAAATGCGAAACCCACGGTTTTTCAATGATGTCGGGTTGGCATGCGGGCGCGACGACGCGCGTACGTGCATGTTGGTTTGTTTTTTTTGTCGCTAGGGGGTTCTTGAACATTCATGGTTGTTGATGAACGAGTGCGCGCTCACAGTTGTGATTACATAAACTGAAGGGGGGGATGGGTCAAAATGGACGATGCGGCAAAACGTTATGTAAATTGCACACCCCCAGGGGGTAGTGATAAATCCGGCCTCAAGAGGGCGTTGGATCCAATTATTTTTTGAAAGGAGAATACATGTGGTGAGCTCCTATGCGGTACGCTCGGAGTAATGCAAACTATCCGGGGTGGCAACGAGGGCTGCGACGAGGTTGGCGATGATGCGGCGCCGGCGACAGCGTAGCCGCCAGACCGACGGTCCGGCCCACACGACGGGCGACGACGAGGTGGTGGCGACAGCGACCACGGAGCCGCTAGACCGACGGTCCAACGCAGACGCTGGGCGGCGACGGAGTGGCGACGGAGACCACGGAGCCGCCACACTGACGACTAGGGCCAGTTTCTTAGAACACAAGTAAGAAACCCTAAGTGCAAACATTGTTTGGGGAATCTAGTCAAACCTAGCGGAAATCAATGGATTTGGTGTGTTGGCGCGTTCTTGGGTTTCCTATGGGGCGTTTGAGAAGCTTCCAGGGCCGTTCGGAATCATTAGGGCCATGTGGCGAGCACGACTTGACGGTTTGGGGTCTTCTTGGCGCCGCCCCGAGGCTTTCGGATGCCTTTGTGAACCATTTGGGATGCGAAAGAGCTTCACAAAGAGCTGGGAACACGCCCTGGGCCCGGGAGCTAAATAGGGCGCCCATGGGGTCCAACATTCCGACATTACATAAATGCAAACCAGCGCGAAGCAACGCAAATAAAGCAAGGCTGACCAATGCACTGTAATACAAAGTAGCGCAAAGCAACGCAGCGCGACGTCATGCAATGCAGAGCAATGCAGAGTAACGAAAAGCAATGCACAGCAATACGAAGCAATGCGAAGCGTGAGGCGAGGAGGCGACGGGCAACCACAGCGGCGCGCAAACCCAGGCGAAGGTCGGCGAAAGGGCGGCGACGAGGCGGCGACATGGCGGCCAGAGCGCCAGACAGGCCCAGACGACGGGCGGCGACGAGGCGGCGACGCGGCGGCGACGGCGGCGACACGGCGGCCAGAGCGACCCGCAGGCCCCGACGACGGGCGGCGAAGAGGCGGTGACGGGGCGGCGACGGCGGCGACATAGCCGCGTAAGAGCTTCTAAGTGCAAGTACTGTTTGGAGGTAAAACTGTTCCGACATTGGACAACGCCTGTTCCAAGACGGTTGGGAAGTTCATACCCACACGGATGCAGGTTGGGGTATTAATTTTCAAGCCGCCTTGGAAAAGGTGCCCCCGACTGCGGAACAGTTTATGTTATACCTTTCTCCGCCCTGTAAGAGGCCGCAGCCACCCACGCCGACAATGAGACTTCGGCCCTCGATTCCCTCCTCAGCGGCGGAGAGGGGCAGAAGTTCAAGGCTTGTGCGCTCGAGCTGTTCCGGCGTGGCCGTGACCTCTTCCGGGAGGTCGCTTTGTTGTTGCCGGTGGCCAAGTCCACGGGTCAGGCCTACGAGGACGTCTTCGGCAACACGCACGCTCTGCTGGATACCGACAACCCGCTCTCGAATGTCGTAAAGCCTCTGGTGAAACAGCTGCGCGCTGTCCAGCGGGCCACCAGGCAGGGTCCATTTCGAGCCGATCGATCCTGTTCGACATCGGTTTTGGCTGGCCCGATCTAATTCGAGTATGGTGTTCCGACGGTCCGACGCAACACGATGTTTGCGCAGCGTAGTTGTGTATCTTGGCGCGGCCGATGCGATTCGATTCCGACTCCGTGCCGATGTGGCCCGATTCGATGCACATTCTGATCCGATCTGAGTTTTCGATTCGATGTTGACCGCTCCTGCCAGGCGGTTGGAGGAGGGCTTCGCCGAGACGGGCGGTGCCAGCCTACAGGCGGCAAGGGCGGGCCTGGTGCAGCTGCGAACCAGGGCGCTCGCCTCGGCGATCACGTGGGTCGAATGGGGCGCCTCTGTGGTCGCGCTGATGAAACGCCAGAGCGGCGGCTTGCTGGGGCGTCTGGCGGACGTGATCGAGGCTCAGAGGAGAGAGCAGGAATGCCGATTCCCGGGCCTGCTGGGGAGCCTTCGTCGCCACGTCTGGGCTCGCTTCGGAATTCTGGTCAGAACAGAGCGCGCCCTGGGAAAGGTCCGGGGAGCAGCGGCATCGGTATCTTGCTGCGACCCCAGAGGCGATAGCTTTCCCCGCCTTGGGGGCCTTCGGCGACCGCACCGTGGCAGGCATCACGCAGGGGAAGCTTAGGGAGGCCGTGAAGATCGTGACAACGTTTCTGAGGGATCTCGACGCTGCGGCCAGTCGAGCAGCCTCCGCCACGGGCTCCTCGGGCCAGCGGGAGTTCCTCAACCGGTGGAAGCTACTGGTGCAGAGCCACGACTGGGAGCAGAGCCTTCGCGACATGAGCCGCGTGCTCCCCGCCATCCCCGAAGAAGAAACAGCGGTACAAACATGAACATGTTAGCCAGCGTGGCCCCCAAGCAGAGTGTTTCTGGCAATCGATGTTGTGCAATCTTTGTGGGGCAGTAAATGTGGTTCAACATCTATGGTGCAAGATGCGGTGCAGTCTCTGTGGTGAAACGAATTTCTGTTCCCAAGGAGTTGTCCACCCCACTGTTTGCGCAATCATCCCACCCACCCACCCGCAACTTGGTTTGCACAACCCATGCGGTGGCGATTTCGATGAGTGCTTGGAGTTGGCTGGTGCGTTTTTGCGGCCGCGTTCGCGCATGCTGGCGCGCGCAGCGGCCAGCTAGTTTGGCGCGACCGGCGCGGCCACGGTGGCGCTGACCATTGGGAATTTCCCAGTGGGCACTTCAGTGCGAGTCGGCGATTTGGGTTGGCGCGGTATTATGGCAACGCCGACAACAGTAGACGCGATGATGATGGTAGCGATGCTGGCGACGGTGGCGACAAAGACAACGGCAACGTCAGTGACGGCGCCGATGCTGATCACGCCGGCGACGATGACGGCGCTTTCGCGTCGGTGATGAAAATTTTGGAGGGAGTTCGACATGCGCGCGCGGCCGACGCGCGAGAGCGGCCCACATGGATTTCGTGCCAAGTTTGTGGCAAAGGGTTTCTGCGACAGCGCGCGCGCAAGGGCGCTCGAGCGATTCCGACATGCGTGCGCGAGAGGCTCGTTTGGTCGTAAGGTGTCAAGTTGTTTAACAACCCATGGTCTTGTTTAGAATTCGCATGAACCCGAACGATCTTCTGTACATGACGATGGTTTCTGACGTGTTTTCGGGCCATACGACATCTGAGGTTTTCGAAAGACTCCAGCATGCGCGCGCGACGACGCGCGCGAGCGTGCTTTTCGTTCATTTATTGTCAGGGATTTTTGCGATGGACGTTCGACCGATTTCGGCGAGCGCGCGAGAGGCCTGCATAGTGAAACACTTATGGTTCTCTTTACTTTATATCCGCAGTGAGTTGTCAACTCCACCGCTCGCGCAAGCATCCCACCCACCCACCCGCAACTTGGTTTGCAAAATCTCTTAAGACCGTGACGGTGGGTACCAAAAGGTACTTGGCAACGACACCGACGCCGACGACGACACCGACAACGACGACGACGACGCCGACAACGACTACGACGACACCGACGACGTTTCCAACCGCTTCGACGACGCCGACAACGACGACGACGACACCGACGACGACGACGACGCCGACGCCGACGACGGCGACGATGACAACGACGACGACGATGACGACGCCGACGGCGACGACAACGACGACAACGATGACGACGACGACGACGTCGACGATTACGACGACGACGCTGACGACGACGAAGACGACGACGATGTCGCCAACGAAGACGACGACGAGCGAGGAGGGAGGACGACGACCGACGGCGACAACGACGACACCGACGACAACGACGAGGGAGGAGGTAGGACGGCGACGACGCGAACGACGAAGAAGGAAAAAAAGACGGCGACGCCGACGACGAGTGAGGGGGGAAGACGACGACGACGACGACAACGACGACGACGACGACGACGACGACGGCGACGAAATAGGAGGGACGACGACGAGACGCCGACGACGGACGACGACGACGAGGGAGGAGGAGGAAGGACGACCACGGCGACAACGACGACGGAAACGACCACGACGCCACAGAGGACGACGACGACGAACACGAGGAAAGACAAAGGACGACGTAGGCGACGACGGCGACGACGCGGGAGGAAGGAGGACGGCGACGACGACGACGACGACACAAGAGCGCGCACGCACGCTTTTGTTGAACATCCGGGTTGCGAAACCTTGTGTTTTTGTAGTTTTTTGGACACACGATTTTGAAATCCTTCCGAAACCGATCGAGTTTTGAAGGATTGCGGCATACGCGCGCGACGACGCGCGCGGCTGCATTTCGTCCATTGCGTTTGCAGAGGGTTCTCGCGACGGCACACGCGCAAGGGCGTTCGACAGATTTTGACATGCGCGCGCGAAGCCCGTTTGGTAGCTTTTTTGTGAAAATCTTGAAGAACCGATGGTTTTCTGAAGATTTCGCAAGAGCTCGCGCGCAAGTTTTTGTTAGCAAATCGATGTTGCGAAACCCTGTGTGTTTTGTATGTTTTTGGGGACACCCGAATTCGAAATCCTTCCGACACCGAAGGTTTTTGAAGGATTTCGGCATGCGCGCGCGAAGACGTGCGCGTGCGCAGTTCGTCCCGGTTTTCTGCAAGGGAGTCATGGAACAAGTTTTATGTTAGGAAAAAAATATCACCGCGCTTTTTGTTTACAAGGGAACCTCAGGGGTAGCGATACCGGCCGCCCGGGGATAGTGTAAATTTATAGTTAGGATGGACATGTGGTCAGAATCGTATATGACTTACATACCCGAAAGGGGGGGGGGATAACGCCAGGGAGGGGGGGTAGAGCTTATTTTCTTTAGACAGGGGAATTCAGAATTCGCAAGAGCGCGTTGCGAAAGCCCCGTTGCGACTCCCTGTTTTTCTTTCCGTGTTGAAAGATTTTTCGGGACACTAGATGTTGAACCCTTTGCGAAGCCCACGGCCGTCGAAAGATTTCGGCGTGCGCGCGCGACGGCGCGCGCGCGCGCATTTCGTCTTGTTTTTCCCGGAAAGGGCTTGGGCCCAGGGTTCTTTTTTAGAAGTTTGCCCCCGGAATCGACGGGAAGAGGGCCGGCGGAATTATTCTGGGATAAGTTACGTGCGGGAAGAGGGCCGGCGGAATTATTATCGAGGATGTCCCTAGCGAAACGTTTGTTTTTCAGAATTTGTTGAGGATGTCTCGAGCGAAACGCTGGTTTTGCAGAGTTGGGGATGTCTCGAGCGAAACGCTTATTTTCATAATTTGTTGAGGATGTCTCGAGCGAAACGCTGGTTTTGCAGAGCCGACCGCGACGCGGAAAAGCGCCCCGCGCGCAGGAATTCCGATGATGTTTCGCGCGTGCCGCGTCCCGCGCGCAGGAATTTCGAGGATGTCTCGACTAATTCGTTTGTTTTGCCAGGATGTCCTTGAATTTTGGCAGGATGTCTCGAGGGAAATGCTTGTCTTTCATAATTTGTTGAAGACGTTTCGAGCGAAGCGGTGGTTTTGCAAAATTGGGGGATGTCTCGAGCGGGGGCCTCGTGGGGGGCCTCGTGGGGGTCCAGAATTCAAAGGATGTCTCATGCGAATTGCTTGTTTTCACGTCCCGCTCGCAAGAATTCCGAGGATGTCTCGCGCGTGCCGCGTCCCGCGCGCAGGAATTCTGAGGATGTTGGCAGGATGTCTCGAGCGAAACGCTTGTCCCCAGCACGTTCCGTAGCGCGTCCCCTTGGCACGTCCCGCGGTGCGTCCCATGGCACGTCCCTTGGCACGTCGCCTGGCGCGTCCCTTGAGACGTTCCGCGTCGCGTCCTCCTGGCATGTCCCCTGTCAATTAGCTCTGGGGCAGCTACTATGTGTTCAGGCAGCTCGAGCTTAAGATCCAGATCAGTTCGGTCAGGACTCGGATGCAAAGGAGGACTCGATCCACGAGGCTATAGAGCACAATCGCGGCATGGCACATCGCAATTCAGCACGGCGCAGCACAGCACAGATTTCGGCACGGTACATCAAGATCGATACACTCAGCATTGCAACTTGGCAGTTCCTTGGCACGTTCCGTGGGGCGTCCCTTGGCGAGTCCCCTTGGCACGTCGCGTGGCGCGTCCCCTGGCACATCCCGTGGCACATCCATTGGCACGTTCCGTAGCGCGTCCCCTTGGCACGTCCCGCGGTGCGACCCCATGGCACGTCCCCTGGCACGTCGCCTGGCGCGTCCCTTGGGACGTTTCGCGGCGCGTCCTCCTGGCATGTCCCCCTGTCAATTAGCTCTGGGGCAGCTACTATGTGTTCAGGCAGCTCGAGCTTAAGATCCAGATCAGTTCGGTCAGGACTCGGATGCAAAGGAGGACTCGATCCACGACGCTGTAGAGCACAATCGCGGCATGGCACATCGCAATTCAGCACGGTGCAGCACAGCACAGCCTTCGGCACGGTACATCAATATCGATACAATCAGCATTGCACTTGCCCGTCACCCAATCAGGTGTCTTTGAAAACGTTGCCATGCGTTACATTTCTATATACCTTTCCGAGTTCGTGGGTCGATCATGTTCGACAGAATGGTCTCGAAAGCTGATGATTTCTGATGGACGAGCACGCGCGCATAATATGTGTTGCAGAGGTTATCCGCGCGCGGTGGGGCGGAAGAAATTATGGCCTGGCTGAGGCGGCGCGAGCTCATATTTAGGGTGGGGAGTGGGGTAGGAGCACGCGTAATTTGCAATGCGAAAGGGCGTCTCTTTAACTCCGGGGAGGGAGGGGGGAGCGGTTGACCTGAGTTTTTTTTTTTTTTTGCAAAAGCAGAACCGACGCGGTGCAATCTATGAGGGAGGGAGCTACGTGGAGCGATCTATGCGGTGCAATTCGTCTGCGTCCCCTCCCGCCCGCCCGCGGTTTGGCTTGCGTCTCCCACGCGGTGGCCCTTGCGATGAGTGTCTGGAGTTGTCTGGTGCATCTTCGCGGCCGCGCTAGCCCGCGCATGCTCGCGCGCGCAGCGGCCCGTTAGTTTGGCGCGACCGACGCCGTCGCAGTGGCGCTGACCGCCGGGCGCTTCCCAGCGGGCACTCCAATGCGAGTCGGCGACATGGGCGGGCGCGGCATCGCGGCGACGTCGACGGCCGCGGACGCGACGATGACGGCCGCGATCCTGGTGGCGACGGCGACAAAGATGACGGCGAGGCCAGTCGCGGAGCCGACCCTGATCACGCCCGCGACGATGACGCCGTCATCGCGTCGGCGATGAAGGTTTGGGAGGGAGTTCGACACGCGCGCGCGGCCGACGCGCGAGAACGGCTCGCGCGGCATTGTCCGACGCGGATCGCGCCCCCCCCCCCGCCCAGCGCGCGCGCCGGGGCGATCGAGT